GGTGCTAATAACGCCAAGGTCGCGGGTTCGATCCCCGTACGGGCCATGTAAGCTTTTGATTCTCAATGGAAATCAACACAGAACAAGATAACTAGCACCCCCCAGGTTCCTTCGGTTAAAGAAAGTTAAACAGCAAATTTCTGGCATACCCAATTGTTCCCTGTTAATGATCTACTTATAGATATTTTTAATTTGATATATTTCTCACAACAATAAACAAACAAATCAAGACATAAGGGTGAAAGCAATGTAAGGATCCTACCATAATAATATAATACGAAATTAAGTTATTTTAAAGTAGCTATGTTTCTTTTCAAACAGAAGCACTGCATACCTCAGAAGTTTTCTGTAAAGTTCTCACATATGCTGAGTGCTCATTAGCAGTTTCTTCACTTAACAGCTTGGCTCTTCTAAAACTATTTGCTTTGTGACTGTGGAGTATTGAACACATGAAGGAACACCCGATCCCTCCTCCTGGTGGAGTGGCTGGTGTTGTGTTTATTGCCGTGCTGGGAACTAAATCCTGGTATTGCCTTCGGTTTAAACCAGAGACTGTTTAATGTAGCCTTCCATGGTCAATAAATCATCAACAGAGACACAAAACAAGCAGCTGGCTTCAGACTTCTGCTGCAGATGCTACTGTGCAGAGAACCTCCTGCTAAAAGCTGATGCTGATGTCTGCCTGCTGCCTCAATTTGGGCACTGATCGAAAGAACTATTTGTGATACCCGAGGCTGGTGTCTTTAATAAATCCATTCCTACTTCACAGCAGAAAAAACTGTTGCTCCTTCTTTTCTGAAATCTGAAAATATATTTTGGACTTTGTGATTGATGAAGCACACACCTTGACATCAGGGAAGTAGGTCTTGAGTGTGTTGGAACTGGGGTAGCGGGTGTAGAAGAACATGAGCTTTGCTTTCTTGAGATGGCAGGGAGACAAGCCCTCCTGAATGTACACATGGAGCAGGTTAAGGAGACACACGTGTCCTTTTAAACACACACAGACATATATCTGTATCATCATGCTCACAAAAGGATATCCCTCCTGCAGTCAGGTAGAGCTCTCCGTCCATCCCTCCCCCTCCTCTCATGCCACCGTCTCCCCTCACCCCTCTCTCCCT